CAAGGCACTAGACAGCACCGGGCTGGAGATGGGAGAGACAGAGGGTTATTCACTGGGCTCATCCTGAGGGTTACACGTCTCATCAGCTCTGGCCACTGTGCCATGCACTGCCCCTCTCCTGGGCAGAGTCATTTGGTTTCTTTGAGACTACTGGTCTGCTCTTCCTTTTTTGTTTTTATTTTTTTTAGAGATGAGGTCTTGCTATATTGCCTGGTCTTGGGCTCAAGCAATCCTCCTGCGTTGGCCTCCCAAAGTGCTGGAATTACAAACGTGAGCCACTGTACCCTGCCTCTACTGGTCTGTTGATCAGAGATTGGGAATAAGGTGTGCAGTTTAAGCTTATGACTTTGAGAAATAAATTTTAAAAATATTACAACTTATTTTGAATAAAATGCTTTATAAAGTAAATTAAACACTTCATTGTTTCTTAAAACTAAACAAACTGCGAGCCCTACAAAATGCGAGCCCTACAAAATGTCATGTACTGTCTTTGGACTATCAAGGACTATTGTCTGGGGCTGTGATGACATTTTAGAAGTCTACTCTTCGAGGGGAAGGCTGCCTTGACATGTCAGTCAGTTGCAGGCTTAGACTCAAAAAATAATGAGAGCTACTTGGGCACTGCTGGGGGATGTTAGAACCTTCTTGCACCCCCTTTGCTTCTTCCTTGGAAAGAGAATGGACTTTGGAGACAAATGGAGCTGAGTGCAAATCCTACCTCACTCCTATGCTTAGAGGCTGAGTGAACAATGTTGGGTAGCTGATCTTCCTAAGTTTCTTTCATCTGGAAGGGACCAGTCACCCTGGACACACAATACCCCACATCTCCTGCACTCGGTAGCTGAAGTCACAGGGTGCAGTTGAGTGGTCAACCTTTAATGAATGGTCGTGAGTTTCAAACAGGCATTGGAGGCTGCCTCCAAATCCTCTAAATACTCCTCACAAATGACTCCCTGAGGTGCTAAGACAAGCCTTCCACATTTACACCTTCAGCCTCCTGTCTTTGCTGTCTGCTTCCCCTTCGTCTCAACGGCCACCTGGCTTTCCTCCATTAAGAACATGGAAATGACAAAATGAGAAATACCTTGTGTTTCCAGCCATGAAATCCATACCCTGCCTGCCTTCTTCCCATACACGTTGCCTGTCTACCTTTCCCTGATCTTTGGATCGAATCCATCTCAAAGACCTCACTCCTGTGTTTTCTCCTCTCCCTCCTGCTGCTTCAATCTCTGCTTTTTCTCTGGATCATTCTCATCAGTATTTGACATGCTCTAGTCTCATCTACCTTAAACACCCTTCCCTTTTAACTTGATGTCCATCCCATAGAGGGCCCCATTTCTCTGCTCCCCTCCAGGGCAGCATCCCTCAAAAGGGTTGACTGTCATTTCTGTCCCCAATCTTTCTGCTCTTAGTCTTTTCTAAACCCATTCCAATCACACGTGTCCTTGTTATACCAGGGAAGTAGCTCTTATCCAGTTCAACAATGACATCTATCTTGTCAAGTCCACGGCCATTCTCTGGTCTTTTCTTTTCTTTTCTTTTTTTTTTTGAGTTGGAGTTTCACTCTGTCGCCCAGACTGGAGTGCAGTGGCCGCTTCCGGCCACCGCTGCCTCGACCTGCTGGGGCTCCGGCGATCCTTCCGCCTCAACTTTCCAAGTAGCTGGAATTACAGGCATGCGCTACCACGCCTGGCTGATTTTTTGATTTATTGTAGAGATGAGGTCTCGCTGCCCAGGCGGGTCTCGAACCCGCGGGCTTAGGCAATCCACTCACCTCAGCCTCCCAAAGGCGCGGGATTACAGGCTGAGCCAACGAGACCGGCTCTCTCTGATCCTTTCATTTGACAGATGAACCCACCTACTATACTGAAATATTTCTGGGCTACCATGACTTGGACATAGGTATCCTCTTGCCCATTCTTTTGCATCACCTTCAGTGGTTTCCCCCTCTCCTGCTGGATATTTAATGTTGGAAGAGCCTACAGCTCTGTCTTAGATCTTCTCTCTCTTTTTTTGCCTTCTCTTTTAAGTGATGTCCTTTAGTCCCATGGTGGCAAGCTTCTATGTGCTTCTGCCTTCCAAACCTTGACCAGATTGCTCTGTTCCATATTCATACATCCAATTGCCTCTCAACATCTCGACTTAGAAGTCTCAAGTGTCACGTGTCCAAGGAGAACTCTTGATTTGCTTCCCGTCTCCCATCTCTAATCTGTTTTCTTCTTAGTCTTCTGCTTCAACCCAGGCTCTCAGGAAAATTACAGGTGTATGTTGAATTTTCTTTCTTTTTTCTTCATATTCCACCACCTTGCAGCAAGTCCTGTGGCCTCTGTCTTTCTTAAAATATACCCCAGACCCACTCACCTCCCGCCATGTTCATGGATATCACCCTACTCTTGTCTCTGTGGGCTTTTGTTGTGAACAGTTATGGGTTATCGTAGCAGATGCTTCTGGCACCCACTCTTACTTCAGTTAAAATTCATTCTACATGCTGCAAGCAGTGATTGGTTTACATTTAAACCATATTCCATCATTTAACACCCTTGAACTCCTTCCCATCACAGCTGTTGTAGAAACCAAAAGGCTTACTGGGTCCCCAGGGAGGGCCTGGCCTGGCTCCCATCTCCTTGCTGTCCTCCCCTCCTGCCACTCCACCATCATTCTCTGAGCATCTGCCTCACTGGTTTTGTCTGTTTCTGGAATGCATCACACGGCCCCAGCTGGAGTCTTTGCACCTGTGGCTTCTTCCTGGAAGATCCTTCACCCAGATCTTCAGAAAGTAGATGTCTTCATTGGGTGACAGCACTGATGTCCCCTCTGCAAAGTGACCTTCCCTGGCCACTCATGTCTGAAATCACCCTCTGTTATTTGCTCTGTATTACTTTCCTCAAAGCTCCTATCACACTTGGGAACGATCCCTTCTACTAACAAGTATGTGAGTTTACATCTAGCTTTGCCCAGAGGAATCTTAGCTCCATAGGGAAAGAGACTTCTTCTAGTTCATGACTGTTTCCAACATCCGGAATTCTCCTTGACTCAACAAACAGTTCCAGGCACTCAACAGCTATTTGTTCATTGGTTAAATCTGGACAATGGCACTGCTAATACCATGGCTTGAATTTCAAGGACTGCATGTGTGGATTTGTGAATGACGGCAGGCCAGAGCTCAGCCCAGGGTGGGGTGTTCAGTGGCTTTTGTTCTTTAAATTGAGATGTCGGGTGGGAAGGCACTAACCTCTCTCTGCCACCCAGTGAAATGTGGCTGAGGGCTCTGTCTATATAGTGATAAACCAAATCTATGCAAATAAAGAAGACACATGCTCCTTTCCCCATGGGACACATGTGGGACATTAAGAAAATCCCTACAGAAATGACGGCCTGAGCGTTTCATCCCAGTGGATTAAGAAAGAAACCCTAAGAAGAAAAATGCATTGCCCAGAATGCTGAATGTAGTAATTTATTTGCAAGCACCACTAAAAAGTAATGAAACAGTACTTAAGCTAAATTAAACTAACCGATTTTAGTAACTCCAGACTTTGAAACAAAAGAAAGACACTTATTCCTTAGAGATGTTAAAAATAAATCACTGTATCTGACTTATTGCCGAGAACAGGAGTAAACCGTCCTGAGGGGAGTTGAGAACAGGTGGTGTGACAAGGGCATTCGGGGCTGGGGACAAAGGTTCACCATTGCAGCAAGCACCCCTGAGGCCCTGGGATGCTCCACAGACCTGCTATTGATTCACATGAATTAGATGGAGTACACCCTGACCTTGGGGAATATTTGCTCCTGACTCCTCTCATCATGACCTTTTATTTCAATGTCTTTGGTCTGAGGTGATTATGCAGCGTGATCTCAACTGATGCTTCTAGTTCAGAGATGCTGTGCTTTACATAGAAACTCTCTTTTCCGAGAAAGGTTTTGCTTCTACGGCAACAGAGTGTCCAGCACTTAAGACTTGGTTAGGCCCCATAACAGACGACTCCCACGTAACCCGGGGTTCAGTAGTACAGACAGGATTCAAAATCCCAGCATGAAAAACTTTTACAGAGTGTATACAACCTGGGGCCTTGGCCTTCCCTTCTGTGGACAGTGGCAAACATACCCTGCTTAGCACCGCTTAAGCCCTGCTCAGCACTGTGTCTGGGATGTAGGACACTACAGTCCATGTCAGCCTTTATGATGAACCTTCATTCAAGGGCGATCATCAACACGGCACAAAACACATGGTCTTTAAATAATCCCCGTGCTCCATATCCTCAAATATTCTGAAACGACACCTGGTGGTGCAACAGAATGCATGGGCTTTCACGGTGTCACGCTAGACTGGCCCAGTGATGAAGATACCAGGCTCCTGTGTGTCTGCCCCATTGTGAGACAAGCACCTTGGGGCCCATGGAGCTGTGAGCAGAAAGGGCACAGCATCTCACCAGGTCATGGCTGTGAAGGTCACAGGAAGCAGCAACCACCAGTAGTAGTCTAGCTTGTCTGAGAACACGGCCATCAGCAATCCCACCAGCATGCCGTTGTAGCCGTGGAGTCCCGAGGCGATGGCGGACCTGGGGGTGAAGCAGAGTGACGTTGCATTTGGACTCAGCAGGGCTTATTAGGCTGGTCCCTCCCAGTGCTCTGAGTAGTGAGAGGCTGGATTTAGAGGATGCCTTTAGTAATAGTACACGGGACAAAGTCAGTTCACTCAGTGACAATCGGGCAGTCACTCAGCTGCCAGCACCTTTCTAGACGATAAATATATACACACACACACACACACACTCACAACTCTGTCTTCACCAAGAAGACTCTAAGCTTCACAGGGAGAGGCACTTCTCCTTGTTCATAGCTGTTTCCAATACCCAAAATTCTCCTTGCACTTGACAAACAGTTCCAGGCACTCAAAGGCTATTTGTTCATGGGCTAAATCTGGACAATGGCACTGCTGATACCATGGATTGAACTTTAAGGACTGCACGCGTGGATTTATGAATGGCAGCAGTGGCAGGGCAGAGCTCAGCCCGGGTGGGGTGTTTGATGGCTTTTGTTCTTTAAATTGACATATGGTTTTGGTACACACACACACACACACACACACACACACACACACACACACACACACACACACACACATCTGGTTTTTATGCCCATTGCTTTAGGTGAGCTAAGGAAAAATGGTTGGCCAGTGTTGGTGGGTTGGGGGTGTTGGAAAACAAAATGAAGGTGCCCAATGGCTGGTTCTTCCTGTCGACAATGTCCCTTGGAACTCTTTTTTTACTAAAATGTTAGTGGCTTCTGGTTTTTGTCATCAGAAGGAAACCCCCTTCTGTACATCCCCTCCTGACTGACCATCAAGAATACAAAATTAGGTTCAACTCCCATGCTCAAAAGACCTTCATGAGGACCACGTCCCACCAGGGTCTGGAGCTACTGTCTTGGGCTAGTGGGGCTAGGAGTGGGGGCATGGGTGGCTGAGGGATGGCAGGTGGTGGAGGCTGTGACTGGGGTATGCAGCTGTGCCAATGGCTCACTGTGATTGGCAGTGAGGTTGTGGCTCCTTAGAAGACATGCGAGGGTGTTGTGTTGATGGCTAGAGCTTTGAGCCTGTTGTCTAGAGTAAGGCCCTGACCTGTCAGCAAGGATCCTGGGTCTTTTCCAGGTGTTGTGGTAGAATATACATTGGCAATGGACTTTCTGTCCTGAACATGCTTAGAATGTAGCAGAGAGAGAAGATGTAGGACACAATTAGAGAACAATCCAGTATAGACCCCGTGTGTGTTCTGTGGTTGTTCAGTGAGAAAGGAGGGTCCAGAGTATAAGAGGGGTGATTGGGAGTGGCTCCTTGAGGGAGGAGGGAGTCAAAGGAATGGTAGGATTAGGTGAGACAGGCAGAAGCCATAGAAAAAGAACATGGTGCATCTGGAGGCCATTCTTCTAAGTGAAATAATGCGGAAACAGAAAGTCAAATACTGCATGTTCTCATGTATAAGTGGGAGCTAAACACTGGGTACACAGAGACATAAAGATGGGAACACCAGACACTGGAGACTTTTAAAAGGGGGACGGGGTAGGAGGTAAGGTTTGAAAAATGACTATTGGACACCACGCTCACTATCTGGGTGGCAGGCTCAGTAGAACCTCACCAACATGCAATACACTCAGGTAATAAAACTGCACATGTACCCTTGAATCTGAAATAGGAAAAAAACAGTATGCGACTCCTCTTTGAAGGTATTTCTAAAAAGCGAGCTATGGTTTTGGTACCCTTGCAGAGTGGATGGGCTCTACACATAACAGAACAAAAATATTACATAGATACCATATCGATTTTGATCTTTCAGTTTATTTGTTGGTTTGATTTATTTGTGAAAATAAAGTCGCTTTATTTTCAGGTGGGATACACCAGAAGTCAGGAACCACAGAAGCAAATACCTCATGGGGGACGAGGGATGCCTAGTGAGTGCTAGGCAATGCAGGGACCATCAAAGAAGGTCTGGAAGCCAAGATGAGGAGCTAGGTTTTTATCTGCTGCATATTTATTGTGAATTCTTAATCAGGGTGTCCGAGAAGATGAGGCAGGCTGGGTGAGCCTCTCACCTTGTAGAACTGAAGCCCCAAAGTGACTCTCCAAATGGCTTGGCAAGTTTACCAGTGGGTGAACGGTTGGGAGGAAACTTTGAGAAATAGACTGGGCAGAAAGGGCCTTGAGCTTGTTCTGGCTGGGCTGGAGACTGTAAAGATGGGGATTCTGGGACCAGGAAGGGAATTGCTCGCCAGAGGCCATACGGCTAAGAGGACGGTGACAGGACAGAGCCCACCTGGGGAAATTGCAGCAAGGGTGCAGGAGTAGGGCCTGTCTGTGGGATGACAAGGAACAGGGGGGCCCATGCATCTCACCTGCCAGACCTGCACTCAGAAGGACTCGGCTTCTTGTGCATCTGACCTCAGTGTGCTGGGAGCGGACAGTCCCCAGATTGCTTACAGGCTCCTTAGCAGGGCCTCTGTCATGAGGGGATGTGGACCGTCAGGAGCCCACGCTGGTTAGACACCACCAACTCTCACTACTCCTGCTGCTCTGGGTCCACCTACGGGTCTCTAGCCACATGGGCCCTATAGGTGCCGGGACAGGACAGCATGACCTTGAGCCCAGAAGATGCAGATTCTATGTCACATCTGAATCCTCCACCCACCTCTCCTTCCAACCTCCTTTTTCTCACTCGCAGTCACACATTTTATTTTTATTTATATTAGAGTTGGGGTCTCACTCTGTTGCCCAGGCTGCAGTGCAGTGACACAATTACGGCTCACCACAACCTCGACTTCCCGGGCTCAGACGATCCTTTTGCCTCAACCTCCTAAGTACCTGGGATTACAGGTGCACGCCACCATGCCTGGCTAATTTTTAAAAATTTTTGCAGAAACGAGGTCTCACTGCGTTGCCCAGGCTGGTTTTGAACTCCTGGGCTCAAGCAGCCTTCTTGCCTTAGCCTCCCAAATTGCTGGGATTACAGACATGAGCCACCATGCCTGGCCTAGGAACACATTTTATATTATGACCCAGTTCTCTCTCTATCTCACACACATAAATGAAACAAACATTTCACCAAATGCTATTTATCTTGACTACCTATGAATTACTCTAATCTGCTTTATTTTATTCTATTGTTATAACTTTAGAAAATACTGTTGGCAATGTGTTCAGGGTCTGCAAATGGGTGGTGACCCCAAAATTGAAAACTACCAACATATGGTATCACCCAGTGTTTCCCAAGCTCCTCTGACCATCAGAAGCATCTGGGAGGAACTATTAACAATAAGCCCCCTCCTCCAGATACACTGACTTGGAATCTCTATGGTGGGAAGGGGGAGGGGCTGAAACTGTATTTCTTAACAATCCCCCCACGTGATTCTGGTCACTGGGAAAGTTTGGGAACCATTGGAATGATACATGGCAAAGTCTGAGGAAGTGGCCACGGTCTGCAAAATGTGAGTTTTTGTTGTGACTCAACTTTGCACACCTGGCTCCTCCCCCACACCCACCCGGACCTTCTGCTGATCCATTTCTTCCCCCTCCAGACCTCCCCCTGCTTCCCCCAACACTGCTTCCCTTCTCCCATCTGCATATGCGATGTTTCCACTTCCAAAGCAGCCAAGACTCAGTGCTGCCTGTCTCCTTTGAACTCTACTATATACGGTCTTGTATTATTCCGAGACACGTGTTGTCTGTTAATCTTGCCTCCCTCAACTAGAAGGTGGGCTCCACGAGGAAAGAGCAGCTCTCAGAGGGAATGTTTCCAGAAGGCTCTGGCTCTACCAGAACCAGACACTGTCACTTGCTATGAGCGGGATCAGTTAAATTCTGCAAGGACTGCCATGACCTGCTCAATGTGAATACTCAGGAGACATGGGCTCGTTGGCAGGAGGAGGTTGGCAGACCCCTTAGGTAAATACCTGTCCACCCCATGCATCTTGCCAAGAACCCACAGGGAGGCACCCACCTGTCCTGGCTCAAGGCGAGGGCGGTCAAGGTGGAGACCGCAGCCCCCAGGGCCCCAGCGATGGTCCACCAGGGATTCTGGATCAGGAGCCCGATTAAGATGATGAACCCGCTGAGAGGGTTGTTGACGAACATCACCTGTGAGGTCCCCCTCAGGACCCAGTCCATGAACTGGAGGGCCAAGTGCTTGTCTGAAAGACACACAGAGAGCCGTCAGCGGAGCCGGCCTCCGTGCCCTGCTGAAACTCTGGTTGGCATGGCAACCAAGGCAAGCAGGGATGCAGAAGCCAGGACATCTCTCCTCATTTAGCTTGGCCAGGGGGTGGGGGCCGAGGGGTGGAGGAGTGAGTGGTGGAGGGGGAAGGCTGGCACCCAGCCCAAGCCTCTGAGTGGCCCAGCAATCATTCTGCCATGGGTGGTAGTTTTTGTCGTGTAGACTGAGGCACCGTGCTGAGACCAATTTAACGCCGTTCCAGACACTGGCTCGGTTAGCAAGGAAGCCCCAGGAGCATTCCAAGAGAAACTTATTGGTCTAGAAGAGAGGGCAGGGAGGGAAGGAAACTCTTTGTGTGGTGCTGTATGACTGGGTTGAGGGCTGGTATCTGTGCAGCAAAGAAAGCAGCCTTAAGAAAAGGAGCTAAAAAGAGATGGTTTTAGCCCAGCTGTGAAAATCAGTATTGAGTCAGGGCCGGGAGGAGGCCAGGTGTAGCAAGGGGCATTGTGCTCACTCTCTGGTTTGGTTTCCAGGACAACCTGTGCAGGTGATGGTGGGGAGGTGCTGGTGGGAACAAGGAAGATGCGGTGTCCCTTGCAGCCTTTAGTTCAGGAAGGAGTTAAGTGGAAAGGACCCCGAAATTTTGGGAAGACTGACACCAGTGTTTTCTTGGCACATGGTAGACACATTATCATTGACTGTGCAGTGACAGGGGTGGGGCCATCTGGCTTGCTTGGGAAATGGTTTCCTTGTTGCTAGTATGGTTGCCTTACTTCTCTTTTATGTGGGAATGGGCAGTTTATGAAGAACTAAAATCAGTAAAAGGCATTTAATTCTTTTTTCTTCTTCTTTGAGATAGGGTCTCACTCTGTCATCCAGGCCAGAGTGCAGTGGTACAATAATAGCTCACCACAGCTTTGAATTCCTGGGCTCAAGTGATCCTTCTGCCTTAGCCTCCCAAGTAGCTGGGACTACAGGCATGTGTCACCATGCCCAGCTATCTTCAAAAATATTTTGTAGAGGTGGAGTCTTGCTATGTTGCCCAGGCTGTCTTGAACTGCTGGCCTCAAGTGATGCTCCCACCTCGGCCTCCCAAAGTACTACGATTATAGGAATAAGCCACTACACCTGACTTGTGTTTACTCCTGAAATGGTCAGAATTCCAGGTCTGCAGGGTACATAATACCCACCTGGAGTCAATTCAGGGCTGGAGCCTTCATCATTGGTGGGTGAGGAGGCAGTTTCCTTGGTCTAAGCCAGAGGGCAGGCTGTCCCCCTGGCTGGACCCAGCTGCCTCTTCCCGGCCTTTGCCTACCTCTCATCCAGCTCCGGCACTCTTTCATGTCGCCGGTGAGGTAGCCCACCGCTTGGAAGAAGCTGATGCCTCCTCGGCCTGCAGAACTCCGGTGGGCTGCCCCGCTTTCTCCCCTTCTGCCCCTTTCACTGGGCTTTTCGATTTTCACGATGTGGCTGTCTTCATTGGATGACCGGAGATCCTTTTAGGAGAAGCCAACAAGGTGTCAAATATCACAGTCTTCTGAGAGCAAGAGACTTTGGGGTTGAAGGGGAATGTCAGGCTTTTCGATAAGACTAAAGAGTCATGAGACGATGGGTGAGACGCAGGTTGTTGCTGTCTCGTGCCGTCTCGAGTGCCCTGTGCAAGCCCGTTCTTCCCAGGACAGCTGCGTGTCCTTTAGAGCAGGGCTTCTTAACATGGTGTGCCACAGGTTCCTCTGGGGGTTTGGTGAAGCCCATGAATGGCTTTCCAGGGTAATGTGTGTAAATGCAAAAATAAAATAAATAGGATCACAAAGAAAACCAATTATGCTGAGATGCAGTTGTCCCCATGCTAAACCAATGGTGACGTGCCTATATGTGGCAGGCCTAAAGCCTACTATAAAATAGTGATGAGTGGAATATATGGAACCCCTGTCCCTGAGTCTGGACATCTCTGGAGGCCACCCCAGCAGTCTTGTGTCCTTCTCCTCTCCAGCGATGACCAGCCAGTCTACCACCCAATGGTTGTTTTTTAACAAAGGCCTTTCCCTGAAGACAATAGGTAATTCAAGGGATCAGGTTTAAGGGGAAAGATGTCAGAGTCTGGTTGGAAAACTGATGTGTGAGTGTATGTATGGGGGGTGAACCCTAAAAACCCAGAATTACCTTTTGTAGGGCCGGCCCCTTGTAGGGTCGGATTTCCCTACTAGGTGAGTGTTCTAGCTAGTGTAACATCAGTGTAACAGCTAGTGTTGTTGTAAGAAGCTGCATTTGGCTTCACTGAATTTTTTTTGGAGATTCTTTCAACATGTTTGCCCATTTCATGATGGGTGATTTACAAGTGCACCTGCCCATACTGCACTGAGTATTTGGCAGTTTTTGACCAAACCACAGCTAGACCCCATGTCTCACCCTCCCTATTCACCCGATCTCGCCCTGAGTGACTTTTTTGTTTCCCAGGATGAAAATGCCCTCAAAGGGAAACATTTTGCTGATGTGGAAGAGATGAAACAAAACACAGCAGAAACACTAAAAGGCATCAAAACTGACGAATTCAAAAACTGTTTTGAGCAGTGGAAAAAGCATCTTGACAGGCGTATGGCATCAAATGACAAGAACTTCAAAGGTAACTGAAGTTTAAACATGCAAGAATAAATACACAATTTTTTATAAATAAATTTCGGGTTTTCTTGGGTCCCCTTCTTTGTATTCTCAACTTGCCCTTAAGTCATGTCTCACACAGTGGGACCCATCATGGGTGTCCTCATATATTGACTGGGGCAGACTCTCTCCCAGGCAGGGACAGTCTCTCTTTTCTTTTTTTAAAGCAGGATTTATTGAGAGGATAGAAAAGCTCCCACTGTGGGAGGGGACCTGAAGGGGTTGCCCTTGACAGCCTCTTTTATTCTCCCTCCGCCTCCCACCTGGGAACCATCCAAAGAGGGACATTCCTCACCTTCTCCTCTGGCATTTCCAGGAGAGGCAAAGCTGGGTGGGTGTCTTGGGGACTTGAGGGCCAGGTAGCACTGGTAAACTCTGCCTCGTAGCGTTTGTATCTGCTGGAAGGGGGCTCTGGCAGGAGAGGGCTGCTGTGAGTGTCAGACATCTCTTTCAGGGGACAGCTGCTTATCTGTCATGCGACTGGTGGAAAGGAAAGAGATGGAGCTAGTGAATTGGGATGGTCTATGGATGGGACTGAGGCTGTACCGAGACGTCAGGTGTACAAAGACCATCCTAGGAGTTGAGCAGTGACACTCGTGGGATCTGCTGTTCTTGTTGCTTGTGCTGCCAGAGACGATTGGGACCATTTCTTCACCTGGATGATCTGTACCTTTCAAAATCCTCCCATTCTTCCAAGTCCAGGAGAAAGTTCATTTGGGTTATAAAGATTTCTCTGACCACTTTGTTAGAATAGCAATATCTCTTTTGTTCCTGATCACTGAAATATTTTTTCTCTACCTTTCATATTGTCTATTGTACTTTTTTTTTTGAGTTGGAGTCTCACTCTGTCACCCAGACTGGAGTGCAGTGGCATGCTCCCGGCCACCACAGCCTCAAAGGATCGCTGGGCTCTGGCGGTCCTTTCACCTCAGCCTTCCAAGTAGCCAAAACTACAGATGCACACTACCATGCCCAGCTAATTTTTGATTTATTGTAAAGACGAGGTCTTGCCAAGTTGCCTGAATGGGTCTCGAACCCGTGCACTCAGGCAATCCACTCACCTCGGCCTCCCTAAGTGCTGGGATTACAGGCTGAG